GATATAATAACTAGCATGACTTTACTTGTATTCCCCCATAAAACATTTAAAAACTGTTAAAACATTGATTAAGGGGTATGAACATACATGTAGTAAGTGACTGGAATTGAACGGACTGTTATCGTAAGGAAGGATCGGACAAGTGCTTAGTGTCAAGTGAAGACTTTAGACACACACAATGATCCTAATTACATATGAAGACATATGTATGTAAATAATTAGTGATTAAAACACTAATTATACAAGTATAAACATTTTAATGCGGGGAAAACAGTTTTGGTCAAGTGCTAGGAGGCTAATGGGTTGCAACCAAGGAGTGCAAAGCCTCTAATGGGAGTTTATGGTCAAATGACCATATGATTTGGAGTTTACGGCCCAGGGGAGTAAACTCCTGGCCGTAAACTCACAATGAAGTCTCTAAATGAAGCCTATCATTTATACAACTAGTTTGGTGAATTGTTTCAAGGCTAAATCAAGTGTTTAGGCTTCCTATTAACTCCTTTGAGGATTTTACGGCCCTGGGACCATATCCCATGGAGATTATGGTCGTAATCTCCTTTGGGGGAATGTTTATGTTGTTTTGAGGTTCCTAGCTCATTGGTGATTTGTTCTATGATAAGTTCTAGCCATGTGGAAGCATTAGGGGCACAATATCACCCCTTTATAGAGTTTTCGGCCTAAGGACCAATCCTTATGAGCTTACGGCCGTAAACTCTATGGGAACATGGTTTCTTGGTTGCTTTAGCTCCTTAACATTTCAAGGATATCATCGAAGCTGGGTTCTAGGCATAAGGAAGGAGTTAGGGTGTCATTTGCCCCATTTATAGGGGTTTACGGCCCAAGAACTTGTCTTGGCCATAAAATCCTTTTTCCTTGTGTTTCCTTATGATTTCTAGGCTATAAACCCTTTAGGGTACTTATCCAAATTAGTACCTTGGCTTAAGAAGGGCTTTTAGGGCATTTTAGCACAAAAACATGGAGTTCACGACCCAAGAGCTTCCTTGGCCGTGAACTCTCTTCCCCCCCCCCCTTGAATCTTAATTGTTTTGGTGTCCTAAACATACAATGGTGGGTTCTAGTTCGAGTTCCATGGCTTTGAGGGACTTTGGGACACCGTATGACCTTAAAATGGAGTTTACTCTCCAAGAACGTTCTTGGGCGGTAAACTCCCGAATCTCACAGATTTGATATGTAATTGATGTTTTTAAACACAATCTAAGGTATATAACATAACTAGATCAAAGTACTAACAACTTCGGATAAAAACCCGAAGATCCGTGAGAGAGAATTTTGGCTTTTCTCTAATTAGAAATGTAACTAATGAACTATTTGGTTCAGAATTCTATTTATAGTCCTGAGATATTTTTGGCAGAAAATATTTTTATTCTCAGAACGAACTCTAATATGCTAGAGTATTGGAATAACAGTGTTGCACAAAACCCTAGTGCATCCACTCTCCTGATATCTCCTTAAGTGTAAATCCTGAAAACCGCCAAACTTATACTTGAAGTCTGAATTTTCACTGTAACTGTTCTACTTCTATTGGCTTCAAATGGTTTGTTCAGAATGGAAATTTCGGGTTGTCACATAATCCAAATTATTAAATAGTTAAAGGTAGGTAAATGACGATTTACCAATTTCCACCATAAGAACGAAATATTTTATTATTAGGTTTTATTGGTTTTGAAACTCCCAGATCTTTTGAGATACATTGAACTTTTCAATGGCATGTTTGAATCTCGATTGTGCCCTCTCAAGTTTGTGACTCGTATGCTGAGGATCACAAACAAGGTGTGAATAACCATACAAATTGACTTGGTACCCTTAACAATATCACCAAATAGATGTGCCGGTTAACCACACACGCTCCACCGATCTATAATAAAGTCAAGTTACCCTTTTCCACTCTTACTAGTCCATGTTAGTGTGTCGGTTAACCATACATGCTCCACTAACGATTTGGTAAGGTACAAAGTCTAATTTTATGGGCTAGTACCAATTTCACATTTTCCTAAAGTAACTAAGGTGGGTGAGAGTGGACACCCATTAAGTCACCATTTTATAGGAAACAACCTTATACCCCCCTTATAAACCGGCTTTGTGAATGAGGCCTACTAACGGTAAGAATGACATATTCTTATACTTATCTATATAATTAAAATTATAATAATAGTATAAGGGTGTATTTTAAACATTTAAAATACTTGGTGGTTTAATTTATTAATTAACCTATACTCTTAATTTAATTAAACATAAACCATGTCTTTATGGAATTATTAACTCTTTTAATTAAACACTTTAATTAGTTTAATGAAGTCCATAAAGTTTGAATTATTTTTTAATTTAAAAAAATTTAATTTGGAATTAAAGTGTAACACTTTACAAATTCCAAAACTTGAGGGCAAGTTTTGAAACTATTTCAAGACTCTTCAAATTTGTAACTTATGAGTTTTAATGGTTCATAAAAATGATGACTCTTCATTTTATGAAACCTCTTTAGTTCTTTAATCACAATTTAAAGAAGTGACTTTTGGTTATCCATAACTTGAGGACAAGTTATGGACACCATCATTGCCATTAAGATCATGAATTAAACACACATGGAGGTTACACATAATTCCTATAATCTTCTAAAGCTCATAAGAACACAAATGCATACCAAGCAATTTCAAGAAATCATATAAACATATACAATACTTGAAAATTGTTAAAAGTCATGCAAAATGGGTTAACATAATCATTACCATTTTTGAAAAACAATTTTTTTTACAAGTCCAAAACAGTTTGGGATAATGATTTAATCCATTTCCAGCAATAAAAATCGAAAAACTGCCCAACACGCTCCTACTCGTCGAGTGCAAGAACCTACTCGACGAGTAGGATGAATTTGTTCATGGACTCGGCGAGTCCTCCCCATGAACTTGGCGAGTCCAATCGTCAGTGAGCAGATGTTTTTTTGATTTTTAAGCAGTTTTGCATCAAGTAAAAAAGAGAACAAACCAGGCTCTGATACCACTGATGGGTTTTGAGCATTCTAACACTTCCTAAGTGTACATGAAACCCTAATAACCTTGAATCTATGTTTTCTCTATATACATGCAAATTTGTTTTTCAAGGTTATTTCCTAACTAGCATGGCATGGGGAATATATAAAACATAAAAACTAGTAGAAATACATACCTTGTTGTTGCTTGGATTCCTTCAAGACTTTGTGAGCCTAGCACCCCAAATGTTGTGCCTCAAATGCTTCACACAACACCACAAAACATGGAATAACTTGAGAGAATACTTCTTACACTTGAAAATCAGTTATGCCCTCTCTAGAAACACTCTAGTCCCAATTTTGCATGCTATAGGGTTTCTTTTATAGTGTGTCATAATTAGGAGTTACAAGTGTAACCCTTAATTGTCATGACACTTCATTTCTCATGACCCATGGGTTTGTAACTCCCATGGACTATCCATGGAGCTCCATATGGTTATAACCATACCCATAAACCATGGATCATTAATCCACCATAGAAGAAATGATGATTTTCATAATCAACCCTATATATTTAGTTACTCTCACTTTGATCACCAAATTAATACTAGATTAATATTTGATCAATACTAATTAAATAATACTATTATTAATATATTAGAACTTATAATATATTAATAATCACAAGTGTACTTTCTTTCATTTTGTCTATCCAAGTATTGCAATGCCATGCAACCCAAATGGACCATCTCGGGTCGGGTCAAGTACATACCAAATAAAGTTATGGACTTAGACACTATATGCAACATCAATTTTGTAAAGAGAGAAACTAGAGAGAATATTAGTGTGTGAGAGAGAATCTAATGTGTATGGAGCATCGCTCACATCTTTGAATACATCATAGATTTAAGCTATTCTTCTTCTCCTTCTCTTCTATTTTGATCTGGCATTATCCGTTTGGTTGAGATTCCACACCATCAAATGGATCTGATTGATACACAAGAAGATTGGGGACTTACACTATGTACATATCATTCGCAGAGGTACAACATGGTTCTTTTACAATATTTTTCATCAAACATAATTCTTCATGACGCACACACTTCACTTGCGTATCCTCAACATCTCTGGTAAAAACCAATCAGAATGTAGAGATTGCACAAGTCCATGTTTATGATCCTGATTCATGAGACCGTGATGATGGTTAAATAAAAAATTCCCAACCATTACAGGAATTGACGGTGAACTTTATGTTCAAGATTTTAACGAAACAATTGTTGTTGTACCTTTCTTCGATATCCAAAATCATATTTCTTTCTATTTGAGTAACCTTGATAAAATGTTCTTATCTCAAGACATTTTTGCCCAATAGTATCCAACACTAATTTTTTTCTTGAAATATGATTTATGTCTGAATATCAATTTTCTTCTTTGTCACTTACAAATTTTCCTAACATTCACTTGTCACTGATTCCACTAGTCATACAAGTAATTTTTATCATTAGATTCACACTTATGTTAAGTTGTGATCATGAAAAAAATTGAGCCTGCCTTCGAATCCTTTCTAAAAGAGGCCCTTTGATACTTATTTACAAGTGTTTGATTGTAATTCACGGGATACCACAAAAGCAGTTCGATATCTCTCTTTATATTGAATGAAGAGATCTTTGCCTGGGATCCATCTGCTTTTACATCAAATAATTATTTGATGTCACTATACTCACATATTTTTTCCTCTTGAGGTCTTGGGTATTACCAACCCGAACCTAGATTGCAAAAGTATGGCTATGATTTCGTTTCTAAACCCAAAAGCGAATGAGCCCTGCCTCGGAACAAAGGTTTAGTGATAGTTCTTATCCTGTTGGGGCATGAAAAATGATTGATTGACTGATTCAGAACTTCATATAAAAGGATTTTGGGGGTTGCAAATTCACACTATACGTATTCTGCTTGAAGATTTTCCGCAAATTCTCTTTCCTTATACTTATCTTTTCTCTCAAGCCTTCAAACCCTAACAATGGTGGAAATTGCTCATGTTGACCCTTCTCAAAAAACTGATGATGCTTCATCTCAACCCTTGTTGAAGATTCAAAGTTCTAATTATAGGGTGCAACCAGATGTTACAAAATACCCAGAAGAATTGAAGATGCTGATTGTTTCTCTCAATCATTCATTTCTTTCAAGCGTGATGGCTACTTCTTTCTTAGTGCCGATGACCTGGTTATCCTTAGAATGTTCTACAACTGTCTTCAATAAAACATCCAATGTGGTTACATTCCAGTTAACCAATAACAAGAAGTATAAGCTTACAAAGAAACAATTCGCTCAAGTCTTCAAGATTCCCACTGCTGAACCTTATTATGAGGTTACCAATGAACAAGTGATTCACATGTTCAATAACATAGGTCATCAACCCCACTCACCAAAATCAGTAAGCTTAAAATGTCTTATTTGCCATGTATGTGGAATTTCTTATTCGAGACTTTTCTGAGATGCTTGACAGGTCGAAGTGTTGGTCTTGATAAGGCTAAACTTGAAGTTTATACAATGATTGTTCGCTTATATTATGATCTTGAAGTTGATTATGTTTCTTAACTTTGGGCAGAATTTGGTGCTAGTATCTCACATACCAATGTAGAAAATGGTGTGTTGTATGTTAGATATTGGAGTTTGATTCTACAACATGTCTATGAGAAGGAAGGGATTCTTGTTCCATCAGATGTTCCCAAAGAAGAGTTTACCCTCTATCAACATCTCAAGACTGTTGAAGATGATTCTGAGGTATTTCCTACTGTTGCAAGAATTCTGGATGCCATGCTTCAAAATGTAGATCCGACGAATCCTGTTCTTGTTTCCTATCTTACCACTATCAATCCTAATGTTGAAGTCGGGGTATTACTACAAAAATTAATTAGAGGGACTTCAAAGCATGGTAAAAGTTCTAAAAAGTCTTCAAAGGTTGAAAACCATAAATCTGTTCCTATGACAGTGGACAAGGATGTCAAGAAGCCTATAAACGAACATGTTGTTCAGGATGTTCCCAAAGAAACCGTGCCATCCAAATCAGGGGTTATCAAGAGAACAAAGAAGCTTACTCATAGACCTCGACATTCACCAGATCCGAGGCCTATTATTAAATATGTTCCTGAATAGAGTCTTTCTTCACCTAAAGGAAGTTTTGCATCGACTCTTCAAAAGATTCGAAAACCCCAGATTAATCAAAAGGAGGGGGGTGCTTATTCGTGAAATTCCAGCTCCAGTTTCTATGTCATATAAAAAACGAAGAGCACATGATATGGTTAAAAATATTAAAAAGCAGAATTGAATATTGGAAGTCTTACTTTACGAAGTTATGGTGGAGACTGATTTCGAATATAAGCTTCACATTACCTCAGAGGGGCTCTCCTGTCAAGTCAAATATCGAGGCGAATGGAAGTCCTAGTGTCTCTGTGAAAGCATATAATTTGAACACAACCACTAATATGGGTGATCCTTCTAATATCTCCTTCCCTAAGTAGACTCAAGTCATAGCACTTGAAGTGTCGATGGTCAAATCAGTTTCTGAGGAGGTTCACACTTTAGGCATCCCTATGCACATATCTTATATGGATACAAATGTCAATAAGGGTGATGGGATGTCAACTACCAAAGTCTAAGGTACATTTTCACTTTCAACTTCATCAGTTCATGTTTCCATTATTCTTTCATTCATAATCGAATCCACCATTATCGATACTTCTACTTCATTACCACCTTTCATTTCTCCTACACCTATTTCATTACCTTCTTCTACTATCTCACCTACTTTTTCAAACATTATGGATCAAGCAATCACTTCTCTTTTTCCTTTATAATCAAACAAAGTAGAAAAATCCATTCATGATGATAATCCAAAAGATGATGATCTTATGGTTTCATTTGTTGAAATCCAATTTGATCCTGAGGAGGAAAATATTCCAGATCACATGCTTATGACTGGTAAGCAGTTCAAGATCCTCGATCGAAAGTTGAATTCTTTACTACAGCTTCAAGCTGATGCTGGGAGTCCTAATATTGTGTTTGTGATCAAAGTTGATGCCCTACTCAAAGTTTAAGAACATCGGTTGAAAACTGTCGTTGAACAGATTGAAATGAAAACTAAAAAGCATTTGAAGCATCTGTCTGATTCTTTTCAACATGAGGTCAAGGATTTAAGGGTTGTTGCTAAATAAATACATATTCTCTTTGTCGAAGTAGTTAAGAAAGTGAAGGAGGATGTCAATTTCAAAGTTGAGGAGATCCATACTAAGATGACGAAGGAGGTTTTTAAACTTGATAAGAATTATTCCAATCTTCATACTAAGGTTGATATAATTGATGATGCTGTTAAGAAGGTTGTTGAGTTCTACAATTCTCTTATCACCAAGGTTGATACGAATTTAGAGTCTGATTCTAAATTTGTTGCAAACCTGGAAGAGTTATTAGGAAGTTTGAAGGAATCTTTGTCAAAACTTGATGTTTCTCCTTCATATTCGATTTCACAGAGTCTCTTTCAAAGTTGTTTTCTTCATTTAAAGCTAATCTTATGGCTGAGATTGTTCCGCTTTTGCATTTGGTGAATTTGATGCCAACCGATGCCCCACCTGTTTCTCAAGTGGTTGTAAGGGGGAGAAAGGGGGTTTGGCTTTGGTTTTTCGAAAGGAGCTTGAAGTAGTTCATCAAAAGATGATTATAGTGGAAATTTTTTTGGGAATGTGATCAATAAACAACTTACAACTTTGTTTCCCACTTCATTATCAACAACCTCAAACACCATGACTTTAAGGCCTTTTACTAAAGGTATTGCCATTGGATCTTCTGGTGGTGGTTCGAGCTCAAAACCACCAATTTCAAAAGAAGCCAAAGTTGGTAAAGGAAAAGAGATTGAGCCTTCTGTAGAAGAAAAGAAGAAAGATCAAGAAGCTGAAATTGAAATGCAGAGGCAAATCAACAATATCATTCGTCAAAGACAAAATGATCCTCCAAGTCTTGAGAAGGGTGATCCAACAAATCCTTTTTTCTATGAGACAATTAAAGACATAGCTTTCAATGGGATCATGCATAATTTTGAAAATGTTCCCAAAATGAGCTATGATACTGAAAGCACTGATTTCAATCGATTTTATTTTCCTATCAATTAGATGATGTTTATCTCTCATTAGTATCAGATTGTTGATAAGTTTGAAGGGAAGGAGGAATATAAAATTTTGAAGTTAAGATTTCATGCGGTACATGGTAAAAGAGAAGAAGATATTTTTTCATTGGTAAACATAGCAAAAGTTCTTAAATATTTCGAAGGATGTTTTGTTCGAAGGGTTATTGCAGAACTATTGACTTTATGTGGTCAGATCCAACAATGTAGCTTGCAATTTTTCAGTGGCTGATTTCATGTTAATGAACATGAACGACCTTATCAATGTTGCAAAGATTTTAATCATAGTGGATGCTTCAAAATTACAATTCAACAATGAGGAAGACTTCTTGATAGGCTTCGCTCATATCAAGTTGTTTATAGACAATTATTATGATTGGCTAGCCTTGACCGATGTGGAGCTTGCAATGGCAATGGGTCATCAAGTAAGAGTACCATAGTTAATGCTTAAAGGTCAAGGGAGTTTGAAGGATTTTGATGATGGGGAAATTGTTTTGAAACCATTGGGTGTTGTGTTTTTTGGGAAGAGCAAGAAAAACAAGATCACAAAGTTTCTTTTTCAAGTATGCAATGTTGAGAAGTATACAAATTCCCAGTACACTAATCACCTGGTTCGGAACAGTAATTGCAAGAAGAATAATCCAGGGGATATAGCTGAGGTTCGAAAGATCATTACATGGTATACTGAGGTTTGTCGGGTACTTCATCAACCTACAAAATTTCTAATGAATTAAGTTCAACATTGCTCACAAATGGGGAGAATGTTTGGTTCGGATATTGGTTCTGAGGTGTCGAAGTCTGTAGTAGCTTGATAGGATTCGAAGTTTGTATGTTAGATTCGAATTTATGTATTACGTAAGGGTAGCTTAGTTTTCGAAGATTTCATGTATACGCCCTTATGTACTTTTTTCCACTTCATTTGTTCCTATAAATAGGGATAGGTACTAGGGTAAGGGTAATGAGTGTAACGAGTGTGCACTTTACACTCTCATTCCTACACTCTTTTGAAATGATAATAGAGTCAAACATATCTTATTTACTTTCTGTGTTCTCAATTAGATTTGTACTATGATTTTGTTTACTTTACTCGATTCAATTAAACTACAATATACTCATGTATGGTTGATCCTCACCCATCAAGATGCTAACTTTATGAACTAGGAGTCTCATAAACATCAAGAAGAGCAACTCATAACTTATGGATTGGTAAATTGACATTGGATCTTATTCATAGGACCCAAAAGTGACCAAAACTCTACTAGATCTTGATCTAAGCATAGAATGAGTAAGGTCAAAGCTTTATACCTTTATGAAGCTGGAAATAACGAATGGAATTTGTTTCCATAAGCCCTTCCTTGATCAACACTCCTCAACCAAGCTTCTTATTCTTTGAGTTACACCTACACACACCAAAACACACACAAATATCATCGCTCTCTTAAAATGAGCTAAGGTTTTGAAATGGGACTCAAAATAGGCTAATGAGGCTAGTAAAGAGAAAAACTTAGTCATAAAGTTGCGTAAATAGGGTCCAAACCCTAGAACTAAGGTTTTTCTCCTGATTACGTACGCCCCATATACAAGAGGTGTGCCTAGCGTACGCTCCCCCTTCTAAAAAATTATAATAATGCCCATATGGACCAAAATTTCAAACTAATTACACACCAAGGGTCAAAATGAAGAATCCCTCGAATCGGGTGTTACAATAACATAGGGAGGTGATTATGTTCAAGTACATCGATTCAAATTTCTTTAATGCCCTTAGGAGCATAAGATGACTCATTCTCTAAAATTTTAAGTCGATGGTCTTAAAATTGAAATTATTTACATAATGTTTTAGAAGTTAGTTCCAACTTATTTAAATATTGGACATTTTATATGTTTACTATCTAAAAGTTAGTCATGAAATTTTTGAAAATAGAACAATAACAATAGCTCAATGTAGATTTATTGAGTAGATTAAATGCAGTTATGGAATCATCTTCTTGTTGGATCGGATTTTGGAAATCATTTGGCCCTAAGTCTTGTGATAAAATGTAAATCTTATTTGTCAAGAATGATGATAGTGACACCATCAAATGGGAAAGTATCTATTGGAATTAGTTTACATTAATTGGTCATTCAGATTAACGATGATGCATGATCATCATCTTTGAAAGTGAATGAGAAGTGTATCACCAAATATTCAGTTGTATATAATTTTGGAAGTCATTAGACCACAAGTCTTTCGACTGATACATATCTCATAGTATCAAGATAAATGATTAACAAATAACTTTTTTGTTGGAATTAGTTCATGCTAATTTTCCATTTTGATTGTTCACAAAATGAAGTTCATAGTCAGCTGGGAAAAAAGGATAAGAAAATCATATACTATAGGATATTAAGAATCTTGATCTAAACATTAACGATCATCTAATGGAATTGTGAAGTAGTTTCACAACTCGTCTCAAACCAAAAGCAATAAAGTTAGATAGGATGTAGAAACAAAATCATTGGTTGATTTGTAACTGATGAGTCATATTGTGCTTACAAATAGATCATGAATTGTACCATGAATAAGTGTTACAAACGTCCTTGGTCTTGTATAACCTAAGAAAGTTCCTATCGAATGCTCTATGAGATAGGTTATTTCGTTGGATGAACCAACTATGTTTTTGGAAACCTTCTGAGAACTAAATTTTTTGTTTCTCTAAGGGTAGTTTCTTGAAAGAGAGAGTTGATATCCGAAAGAAGTAGTGGGAGCCACGTTGATCTTGATATGACTCAAGGATCAATTAACAAAGAGCCTAAAGAAACACTAGCAGTTAATTAGAGGTTAAAACCTATTAAAAATGATATACCTCTACATCTTCTATATAGATCAAATAGAAAAAGTCATGCACCTTGTTGAATCAATGTCAAATGGGAAATGGGTCAGGATAGATTGCGATCAGAGTTTATCAACTGACAAAAGCTATGGGAGGCCCAATATGCCAAAAAAAATTTGTAAGGAGCTATGAGGAATGAGAGTTAGTCTATGTGTACTTGAAATTTGAATTGATCAAACACATAGTGCTTGTGGATCTTCAAAAGATGACAAGCATGGATATGAACACACATATATTAAAACCAAGATGGTTGTGAAAGATATTTAGGCTTGAAAATTCCATTGATGGACTATAGCAAGCATAGCATGTTTGGATTATTTGCATCGGTGAGAATTTCAAAAGGTTAAATTACAAGAAACGAAAGATAATCCAAATAAATGTTAGAGCTAGTAGGAACAATGTTATCCCTTATATTGAAATAGGAAACGATGTCATAATTATGCTAAGTGTAAAACATTTACATAACATAGGAATTGTCTCACTACGAAACACATGGGATGAATAAGAATGCAAGCTTATAGTCTATGTAGATAGATCGAAGTCACTCGTTGATTTAAGCCAAAGTACTTGGAATGTTGAGGAAACTTGAGATTAATAATTCTTAAAGAGTTCGTTCTAGAAAAAGTAATGACATATATAACTTGTGCATGATAAGTTATATAAGACCTTTTTTGGATATAGTCAACGAATCAAGGATCAATAATATTCTTTGGACTCGTAAAAGGACGAAAGAAATAATCTTTTTAGTATGGAAGAATTCAATGAACACAACTAGAAAAATGGTCTTTAATGACAATCAATGAGTGTCATAAAAGGGATAGATGACACACAAATGTGTGTCAAGGAAGCCCATTTCATAATGGAAGACAAAACACATTTGTGAGTCGTAAGCCTACGATGCACATTTACAACACAAATTTATGACACACAATCTGTAGCAAAGCCCTTATCATAAAGAAATATGACACACATTTTTGCATGTCATAATTTTAAATGTTTTAAAAACATATGTATACTTTTTATAGATTTACTAATTTTAAAATAATACATTTCATAAGATATAATAGGTCAAATACAAATAATCATTCAAATAGTAACTAAATGTAATGAATCACTAATATTAAATAATATTTATTATAGAAAAGCAAAACATGAATTTAAAAGGAACTCTTGAGTAAGCTCTCCTTCGATAGTTTCCATGGCATCTTTAAGCATTGCAACTTCACCACTTGATGATGCATCAACTTAACTAGTGTTGACTCATCTTCTACAAATTTCCTACACTTGGGGACATAAAATGACTTATGTACTAAAAAGAGTAAATTATGTTTTCTTTTTTCAAATCAACTCAATTAAGTACGCTGCTATTCCTTACATTTTAACCAAAAAATTCCTACATGCATGAAATAGCAACTTACTTCAATTAATTTCTACTAAAGGAAGTTTAAATGCAATAAATAGCAAAGTACATTGCTATTTCCTACACATGGGGACATAAAATGACTTATATAGTAAAAGGAGTAAATTCTATTTTTCTCAAGTCAAATTAATTAAAGTATGTTGCCATTTCTTGCATTTTAACCAACATAAAAGGCCTAAATGCATGGATTGGAAACTTGCTTCAACTTAAAATCCAAGAAAAGTTCTAGAATAGCCTCGATAAAATAGTATAGAGAATATTACTTGGACACAATTACAACATTGTACTTTGAAATTTCAACCCAATTATAACATTATACTTTCAACCTTTTTAATCTAAAAGCATTGTACTTGTAAAAATTTCCACCTAATTATAACATTGTACGGGGGACATGATTGTTATTATTAGGTAGATAATTCAAAGTTGGCTACTATAACATAAAAATCAACAAAATTAGGTTAATATTTCTTGTATTTAACCAACTGTGACTTACCAAAGACAGTCAATGTATTATCTTGTGCACTTCCTGAAGGATCCAACAAAGCATACCTAACAAGCGAGTGTTATTCACTAGTAGAAATTTGTAAAATACTCAGCACAAAGAGAAATGGATGCACATAAATGATTAAATTTGAGTTAGATTCTTACTTTAATCTAACTAGTATAGCTCAAGAGTTTATATGTATCAAGGAATTATTA